CGGCCGACGCTTCGCGCTCTCTCTTCTCCCAGCCTCTCTTCTTTTTCCGTCTCTACGCGACTAAAAGCGAGTCAAAACGTGATGCGAGTTTATTGACGGTGCAACTCGAGCGCCCACTCGATCCGCCGATCTCGGGTACCCTATTTTCCCCGGCAGCGCGCCGCTGTTATTTTCACCGAGCGTTAATGGTACCCCGCGCGCGTTTGCGTAATGCATTGTCGTGGAAGAAGCGATCACTGGATTACGGCGAGACACCGTTCGCGATCGTTCGCTCCTTCCACAGGCGTGCACACGGCGTCATGGGCGCCCGAGCACTTACCAGATCGAGAGCTGTAGGATTTTCAGCCTTACACGCCTGAGCTTGAAAATCGTATAAACAACTCTGATTATAACGGTAGGGTTACGACGGCTTTAATTATACGATGCTTTCAGTTCTATTCGTAAATCGTGTAACTCTCAACCCAGGGAATGTTCGGGCACCCATGACACCGTGTGTACAGTACGTGCTGTGTTTCTGCGCAGTAATGTTGCACGAGGATATTCGAGGTTCATTTTTCTCTTCTATGCCAAGGCCGCGCATTTAATTTAGCATGCCGGCTTAAGCGTGAACGAAAAACAAATACTCGGTATATTAGAATATCGAGTCCAAGGCTCGAAGATCGGAAACGCAACAAAAGGTACGCGTTGTCTCGTATTTCGGAGATAAAAATAATTCTTTATCATTTTCTTTCTCCTTCTTGCTGTTCCAAGCATCCTTTTCCCTTTTCTAGAAGCGCGCGGTTAGATTAGAATTACGGGCGAATACGATTTCCTAGACTGCATTTTTCTTTTGTTATCTTATCTCGGAAAAAACAGGATTGATTCGTACACGTGTTCGTGAGAGAATGCGTGTGTGTGTGTGTGTGTCCACTTTTTGTCCGCTTCATAAACAAATAAATTAAATGCCATAGAGTATCGGTGATTTTCTTTTGCTCATAATTTGCATATCTCGTTCCATATGGCAGACCTTCACTGGTTGCGTAAACGAAAACTGGAAGAAGGTAAAAAGAAAGAATCGAGCGACGTTAAGTACTCGCTGGAAAATCAGTACCGTAAGCGTTCCACTTCTCTCTCTCTCTCGTCCCCTCTCTCTTAAAAGAAAACCGCTCCGGAATCCACGTCTTGGAATGCACGACAACGACGACGACGACGAGACTCCACTTAGCGTGAACGCAACCTGTCTACCTAACCGATTTCCCCATCGAACGCCGGTTTTTCCTCAACATCCTTGCAACTACGATTCAACAATGTCTGCGTGTTATCGTCAATAATTCAATAACTACAATTAGTAATTAAATATTTTTCAATCTGCCAATTATGTCTGTGTCACATCTTAGTAATTCAATAATTAAATTCCATAAAACATTTATTAGCTATCGCGTATCGTGATGATTATTGTCTAACATCGTAGATATTGCGAAAGGAATATTTTTCATTGCATCTCTCGAAGAAAACGTCCCAGCTGTTTCCGAATCGCGCTCAAATTTCCTCGCGCGGGACACACACAATGTATCGTGGATCGCGATTGAAATCGTTCGGCCGGAAAGGGTTAATCTCCGGGGAGGGATGCCCGAGTCGAGATGAATTTTCTGCTCCGTGTTACTCCAGGCAAAGAGAGAGAGAGAGAGAGAGAGATATCCGACCAGACGTCGACTCGACGTCGCCATCGTAATCCTGTCCACGCTGTTTCCCCCACAACCAGCTTCGCACCTCTCGCCTCTTCCCCGAGATCTCCTCATCGACCGATACTCCGCACGAACGCGCGTTTCCCTCCCCCGTGGCCCCCATTCACCTCCTCCACGATGAACGTAGCTATAGCACGGCGGACTATTGTAGACGCGATCAACATTTCGCTCTTTCGAGACAACGAAGTTGTCGCACGGTTAACAGGGCACAACTTCCGTTGTGCCGTAAACGAGATTGTTCCGTTACGCGCGGTCGACGAAAGTCGAAGGTGACGACCGAGATATATCGACACACAGCGCGGCGATACTAAAATTCCACGTAAACAAGTGCCACCATCGTATAGCTGATACGCGCTACATCGTCATCGTCGTCGTCAGCATCGCCACTGCCGTTGGCGCTGCCGTAAACGGGATTTCCGAAGTCCCCCGTTTGCTTGCGCGTGTCGCGAGCGAAACGTGCCTCCGTCTCGCATTGACGGGTATGCGGGCCGCGCTCCGTTTTCTCGGCTACGAACGATGCTACGAGGATAAACGTACTATCGCGAGAAGAAGATTCACGCCGAGTGCGCGAGAGGTTGTCATAAACGTCGCGACCTTCTGCTCGCGCGGCGCGCAAGACCAAATTTCACGGTTATTATCAGCAAACGGAATACGAGAATGCACCGCGCGCACGATATGTCCCCTTAATTTAAGCTTTTCGTGTTGCACGACGTAAGAAATAACGTTATATAAATTAATACAGCAATGGAAAGTTTTCAAATCGATGCTTTTGCGTGCCTCTCACCTCTCTCTCTGCTTGCTTGCTTTTTAGTATTTTTAAGTGTCAAATACCTAATCTATGATATGAGATCTACAGCTTTAGACTGGATAAATTTCTGAAGAAGGCTAGAGCTACGTCAGATTTTTGCTCGCTCTCCCGTATTGCCGAACCGAGACCTTTAATAGATCCTTCATTGTAGCTTGTTTATGGAACCTGCTGCTTAGCGTAAACTTAAATGCTTTAACACATTCAAAGTCAAGCTATATGAATATCTTTATGCTGAAATTCTGTCACCGACTAATTAGGTTTTCACATTTCTAATCGCTTAATACTTTTCTTCATACTTTTATATTATTTTATAATTTTCTCTTTTCTCTCTTTTATTTATCAATGTAGCTTCCGCCTGTTTATAGAACTTGCTGCTTAACGTAGCCTTAAATGCTTTAACACATTCAAAGTCAAGCTATATGAGTATCTTTATGTTGGAATTCTGCCGACTAATTAGGTTTTCACATTTCTAATCGCTTAATACTTCTCTTCACATTTTTATATTATTTTGTAATATTCTCTTTTCTCTCTTTTATTTAGATACCCTTGAGAGGAAGTTTTCCCAGAGCGCAGAATAAATTTATCTATTTATCTACCTCTCTCCCTTGCTCTCTCTCTCTCTCTCTCTCGATAATTACAGAACGTCGATCGATTATTATCGCAGCCGACAGTTAATCGTGAATTTTCACGAACTTTCGAACGGTAGCCCGCGCATACGTACGATGCGTTTCCATGGAACGGACGGCTCTCGGTAATTCTCGGTTCCGTCGGAAACGCCATGCCGTCTAGAAAGTAACGCTCCACATCGACGACCTTGTTCCTAGGATCTACATGCGCCGCGATCGGCCTCGGCTCGACGGCGTATCCGCGACGATCGAGCACTTTCGGGTTTCCGAGATAATCGCGGCGGCCAGTCGCAGCTGTCAGCTGTCGACGAGGCTGCCGTCCGAGGCGTTCCTTTCGACACGGACGAGAAGAACGCGCACACCAGAATTAATGTCGCTTACAATGTCGACGCGGTTTGCACGGGACTCAGACGCGAGAAAATCACCGCTCCTTCTTCGCGAATTTCGGGCTTCGCACCTCCGCCGAACTCGACTTCCGATGCTGCGTGTGTATTTGGAAAAAAAAAAGTGACCCCTACGTGAAGATAAGCGCGCGACAGCTCCGTCTTCGTGGATCGAAAGCGACGTAATATCTCAACGAGCTTTGGGTTTCCGATGGCACGGATACACGAGAAAGAACGACACGATCACCTTCGCGTGCCACTGGCACCGAAATCCCGTATTTAGGAAAATTATTACACCGGTTTCGATCCTCGCTACGGCACGCCACGCGAAACCGAATACCGTTCCTCCCGTTGGAGAAATACCTGTCTCTCTCTCTCTCCCTCTCTCTCTCTCTCTTTTTATCTCCTCCCCCTCCTTCTCCTCGCACGTTGCTCCCCGTTGAACGATCGATTGATATCGTCGTATCGATCGATGACACTTGGGATGACAGTCGCACGTGGTGAGGTACGTCCTCCGTGTCGCACGTGTGCACTCGCGTTCGTCACGATAACGGCACGGCCGATATGCGCGCGCACTCCTCCGAGCGTGACCGAGTGTGTGTATGTGACAGCGCGTTGCGTGCACGAGTATGGGTGTGCGGCGAGGACATGTAAAAACCACGCGATAAGACGGCGCGTGCACAGTCGCGGCTGGACTGATCGTAGGGGTCGAGCCACAGGTGTCATCAGACGGTGAGCGCTCCCCTTTCCCTTCGCAGGCGATGCCGCTCCTCTGCCCCGCTTGGCACCGGTATCCCCACTCTGAGTCTCTCTCTCTCTCTCTCTCTCTCCCTTCCTCCCTCCCTCCCTCTCTTTCTCTGTCTCTCATGGCACATGTAAGATACGCATTGGTGAAGGCGTTTGTCGCGCCTCTCGCGCTGAGAAACAGGCGCGTGCGTAAGAACGAACCCGGGATGACTGTCAATATCCCGATTGCCAGAAAGTATCGATATCTTCTGCCAGATAGATACACTAAGAAAGAAATACTTGAACGTTTACTTGTGAGAGATATCAAGTTTACTTACATAAATAAACTTTATATCCCAGAAATAAACTGTTCAAGTACTATTTGTCTCTCAGTAGTTTGAGATAAATACACGGAGGATAAATTGCAACGCGCGGGCGCGCGCGTGACAAGTTGATTTGCAGTTTCAGTTGGGTGTAAAAAAAAGTGCCAAGTTGATGAGATAAAACGTTGGTAGTATTCCAAAATTAATGTTTTATTTAAAATACAATAAAATACCCTTTCTTCCAATATATCTACATGCAATTATAGTGTATATAGTACATACAAACTTTCAAGCATAAATTTATGCAAGCTTAAATAGATGCAAAATGTCGTTTTTGGTGATAGTACAAAAATGCTTGGGAGTAATGATACGCTCCCTCTCTAGAGGACAGATAGAGAAAGAGAGATTCCTTCATAGTTCAAATAGATATTTATTCAAAAAACGATGTGTTCGTGACAAAAACATATAACGTCTATTGCTGACGTAACACACATGACGTACACTCTCATTCATTCGGTCGCACTTTCATACTAATTCCTCCCACATCACTATTATTAATCTGTTTCTCCATTTTAGTAAACTTAACATTTACTAATTAATGCATATGTTCTTCTTTTCTGTTTTCTTTATGCTTGTTGTAGAATATTTAATATTTGCTTTTTCTATCTCCACCCATGCCAGGGCTTTATAGCTTGTATGCATACAATGTACCATTGTAATCTTATTATTATTTACTGCTGATTGTGTACGTCTAATTACATGTTGTTGTATGTGATATGGCGACATACCACTGTTATCTCAGCTATACATTACGTAATTTCCCACACGCTTACAAATTCGAGACCTCGTCGAGCGAACAACACGATTTTCCGTTTGACTCTGTGAAAAATATTTATCCATCGCGGTCAAGTATCTAAAGTATACTCTACCGTATACAGCTTCCTTCCTACCGTAGTTTTACGTACTTAGCGTCGTGACGTTACTGCGTCATTTCATTTACAAGAGGATTTGCTTTGCTTTTGCGTGTTATATTCAACACACACATTCACAATCGCTATATATATATATATATATATTCCTCCTCTTTTCTTCCCGAGAAACTACAATTTCTACAAAACAACTCGACATATAATTTGTCTTATCTACAAGTGAAAAAAATGATTTACAGATAACAATTTAAAAGTGTCGCGTAATTACCAGATTGCGGACAGATCCAACAATCTACAAATGCAACATATACACGCTATTCATTAAACTCTGAAAAATCAATGTTTACAAAATATCTTTTCGAAATGAAATCGCGTAAAATAACAAACAACGATCGGAAATTGATTTCGAATATAAATAATCGTTCTTTTTGAAATTTCGAAAATCGAAAAATCTTCCCGCGAAAAATCGTCTACGATCGTCAGATATGCTCTCCTCCGTGTCAATGTCGAACAGGAAAATTCGTGTGCTTAACTCGACCGCAGGTCTCCTCCACAAGCCAAATCTCGCGCGGCTCTCCGGTCGCTCTCGACTTCGTGTGGCGTATCATCTATGAGGCTCACACAGCCGTCTTGGGTAAACGGAACCGAAGCTCCACTTAGTTTCCCTTTCCCGTCGAGGATCCTTCCTTGCGACGAAAATCGTATAATCGTAGTTCACAAGAAAAAGAAAGAGAGAGAAAGAAAGGGAGGAAGGGCGGGGAAGAAAGAGAGAAAGAAAGAGAGTGCGCCATATGTATCATGGTGATCGTCCCGAGAATTGTTTTGTAAAGTCAATGTCCGCCAAACACGCAACTATGCTTCTATAGGAAACAAACTACCCCGTATACTAAACGCTACAACACTGGGATTTAAAAAGAAAGTTCGAGAGCAAATAAAGTTTCATTAGTTTTGATTACAATTTTCGATTACAATTTGGAGTCTCTTTTTCTTCGAGTGTGAGGTGAAGGAGTGGATAGGCTAAAACATAACAAATACCTATGAGTATATTGTTTCTGTTCCCGCTGTGACAAGATCAGGTGCTCAGGAACTTATTAACAGTAACATATAAATAGTTATAGTGATTTCTGTTGTTTATAAGGTTCCGACGAAAGTCGATTATAAATGATTCGTAGAATTTTAAATGTTTGGAAAATACGACACTTTATAATATACTAAGTAATATTAAGTGGTTTAGTATATTATTAGTGTAACTCTGTAATATATACTATTATTAGTAATTCCTCTCACAAGCTTTATTCTCAATATTGTTCCATTGCTAATTCTCCCGCGCTACTAATTGTCTTGTCATATAGTAACATTTAGCAAAAATGATTTAACTCAAAGAGCGCAAATAATTTGAAATTTATCTTAATTTTTCACATTTTACTTTGTATTTCGCTCTACTTGGATAACTTTGTGACGATATTTCGGAAGGATTATGCCGTGTCAACGTATTCGTCGACAGGAGTGTACTATCATGTGTTTTGCCGATTTATCTACAGGACAAAAAAGAAAGTAATTACTCTTCACTTCGCTCTTCCTGTTCGCCAACTGATAATTAACGCAGAATACGATCGTTCATTTCTTGTTCGTTGTATAAAGTCCGAAATAAAAATGCGTCTACAAAACAACCGTTATCTCTGAGTAAAAATTGTGAGGTACGATGATAAAGATACCCGTAGGTGGACCAGTGGCTACCCAACCCCTTCGACTGGTGAATATTTCTACTGTATTGCCGGGCATTTTTGCCCGTGCCCGAATTAAAACTTTATGATTGCACATAAAGTGTATCGCATCTCCGTATCCCTGCGGTTATCATCATTGACGTCTCCGTTGTTAAGTCAATCGTAGTTATTAAGATAGTCTCAAGTCGATGCGGTGTATAAGTGAGTACATATGTGTGTAAGTGAGTGAGTGAGTGAGTGAGTGAGTGAGTGAGTGAGTGAGTGAGTGTGTGTGTGTGTGTGTGTGTGTGTGTGTGTGTATGTAATTTGTCAACCGCCGTCCCCCAGCCAGTTTCTAAGTCAGCGTGGAAAAGAAGGCCTCCCTTCGATCGGTATCGTAAGGCACATATATTTTCGTTACGCCCGAATCTCTCGATACCGAGCCGAAGGCCTGCGTCTCTCGCACGATCGAAGCCGAGACGCGACTCTAGAGAGCTTTCAACCGTTCATTAAACTTGACATTTATGTTTTCGTTCGCGCGCACGAAGGGAAATGTTTTCACCCTCTTATTCTCTTCAGCGAACACTTTTGAAGAATTAATTAATTAAAAAGAGAAGAGTAAAGGATATCAGCTATTACTACTTATCAACATTATCGCCAGCACATTCAACTGATTATCGCCAGCACCACCACCTTAAGGTGGAAGACGTTAGAGGGTATAAAAACTAACGTAATTTACTTTGGCGCGTGTTTACGCAACAACACTTTTTCTTTCGAACGCGCGACGACAAAACTCTCCTACGATTCAACGCTATTGTATATCTTGTCCAACTTTGCCCAAAATACTCGCTATTTCTTCAAAACATTTCACGTAACGTGCGTATAAATGTGGCGGCGTATACATCGCTAAATCGTACCAAAACGGGTATATCTCGTTAAAGCACGCATTGCGATTCTCTCTCCCTCTTTGCTTTGTGTAGCGGCGGGAAACAACGTCAGGTATCGCAATAAATATGACGTAGCGAAAGCTCGGTGACACAGGCATACTGCGTTAGAACCTGGCCCTGATGTAAACGGCCGAGGCGTCGTGTTCACCGTATCCGAGACGCTTAGCGTGCTTGTAGACCTCGTTGGCTGCGGCGGCCAACGGCAAGGGCTGCTCCAGTTGGTCACTCATGCCTAAGGACAGTCTCAGATCCTTCTGCATATGTTGCAAGGGCAATTGAGTGGGAAAGCCACCTTCGATGATAGCTGCGGAATAAAACATTAAAGGTAACATTAATCACGTGCTTTTTTTAATACATTTCGCTAACTACTAAATGCAATCTGATAAAACTACTTCTTTTTCTCTGTGGAATATTGTGTATTATTATCGAAATTATTAGAATTAACAAAATAAATAATTACCAGAGCTATCATAATTATCGCCAATTATCGTTACAACAATTCATTCACATATTTTTTCCAGAGTACGAGCGGGATTGATTCATCAATATACCTTTGCCCTTGTCAAGAATCGCGGGACACGCTAGGGATGTCAACTCGAGAACTTCCAAAACATCTTTTTGCTGAAGTCCAGCACGATCCGCGAGTGCCATACTCTCTGCCAGGCCGGCCAATGTCACGCCGGCCATAAGTTGAAGCACAAGGTTCATCTTGGAAGCATTGCCTACTTCGCCAAGATAAAAACTGTTCTTGCCCATAGCCTCGAAGCAAGATTGACATTCGTCGAATAGTGACCGGTCTCCAGCAGCCAGGATCACAAGGGTTCCTTCTTGAGCCTGCGTTTTGCTGCCCTGCACTTGCGCTTCCAGGTAACGTCCCCCTTTACCGTTAATTGCTTCGGCGATGTCCTGAGACGTCTCCGCGTCTATACCCGTCATCTCGACATAGCTCTTTTCGGATGTTATTTCCGTCAATACGCCGCAATTGCCAAACACCATCTAGAAAATATTTTCAATTAGCGCCGTAGGAATGTGAGCGCGTAATAAAGGGGATCACGTCGGAGGACAAATATGATCCTCGAGAAATTTTCTTAGAAGTTTGAAAGCCTACATCTTTTGCAGCTTGCGGATCGGCCACGCAGGAGAAAGTGATGTCAGCTGCCAATACAACGTCGGATGGTGTCAAACCTTGCTCGGCGCCCGCTTTTACGAAATCTACACACTGCAACGGAAAACGGTGGTACGAATTATTTTTATTCTATTCGTTTATATCATTTTGCTTTACCTATGTCGTAACGCGTACGTTTAATTTAATTGATTATGCAAATAGAAACATTGTGCTTTCATTGAAAGCTTTCTTTTGATATCATTTATATTGCGCATTTTCAATTTGAACATTGGCGATCGCGAAACGAATATAATTTTATTTGGTTTATAATCCGTTAATATAATTTTAATTAGTTTATAATCCGTTTAATTTTTAATGTGGCGAGTAATGACGCGTTGCGGTAAAATTATTTTTGCGCTTATTCGCATAAATGAATCGGAAATTGAACTCAACGAGATTATCAGAATTCACTCGTGTCCACGCGGGGAATTCTCCCCGCGACGGAGCGAAAATCAATGCCACGGCGGCATCTGTCGCGTGACCGTGCAGTCACGAGTGAGTTCAACCGGCGCCGACAGATGTCGCCACCGCGAGAAGCCGAGCGCCATTCGAGTCGTACCGTTCGTCACATAACCGTCCCGTTTCCGATACGACGAAGGAAGCGTTCTCGTCGCACCGGCCACATCAGCAAACGACGCCATTGCCAGCCGCAGAGTTTTCCCAGATCTTCGCGTGGATCGCGAATATTCGTTGCGAATCCGCCGTCGCATCGCGCCCAACACTCTCGTTCCTGGATAAATTTCGGGATGGGAGCCGAAGGAGTCGCGGGCGAGGCATGTCCAGGAATCTTCTGGAAGTTTCGAATGCTCTATCCCGACGCAAGAAATATGGCGAATGGCCGCTGAGCGGCCCGTGTTTGCCTTCGCGTTGGCTCGCAGGGCAGCTTCGAGCGCGAAGCCGTTCGCGAGGAAATGTCAGACCAGGTCTCTACACAAGTGACTTCCGAGATTGACTTTTCATCGTGTACGAGGTCAACGAGTCGTCAAAGACGCAGTTTGTTGTATTACGTCGGCGACGGATTGATTTCGTCACGTGTCCGGTCACGTCGCCACGACGCATTCTTTTCTCCGTCCGCCGAGATCGATGGAGAATATCGGTCGGCTCCTATTTTCGTCGAGATCCGAAATCTGTTTGTCCGATCTCTCGCAGCGGCTACACGCCCGCCCCTGGCACGTTTATTCCGGAGTCAACGGTCGACGCCATGCGTTGTGCCGTCTGTGTGCGTGCGTGCGTGCGTGCGTGCCGTTTCGAGAGCACAGCAAGATCGCACCTTGACGCGCAGGAAGCTCGTGTTTCCCCACCGTTCCGTATCGCATTGTTGTGACCCGACGTTGAAAGAATTAGCTTGAAATTATCTCGAGATGAGCTGTATATCGCGAGTCTTATCGCAAGCCGTATCAAATGTGACTCGGGTTGCATATCGAGTAATATGGCAGATTACGTGTCAGATACACTCTAAATTTGATGAGTCTTATATAATTTTATACGTCGAGTGGAACGATAAGTGCAGACTTACGCTTAGGAAGGCACCGAACATTCGCGCAGACAGCACGAGCGTGTCCTATCTACTTATTCCTATCTCATCTGGTGTATTATTATGACAAAGAAAGAAATTAAATGTGTTTATATAGAGAAAGTCTGACGAAAACATGAAACTCTCGTGTAAATTAGGTCAATCTGAACAAAAAATTTCTCCATTTTACTAACAATCACGTAAAATCTTGTAGTATTAATTAGGTAAATCTGAACAAAAAAATTCTCCATTTTACAATCACGTAAAATCTTGTATTATTAATACAAAAAGATTTGTGAATAATCATGTGCCATGCGGCAAATGATGCCTGCTGTTATATGTTTCTGGATTAAGCTGCATAAAAATGTCCTCTACCATTTTGCAAGTAACCACATGAATCCTTGAGTTATTGATTAAAACAGATTCGAAGCCAATCGCACGGCATTAATCAATCTTCTTTAGGAACTCAAATATCTACGTGATTATTTGAAAAATCGTTGAGGACACTTTTTTGCTCAGTTTAACTTAACCTAATCCACACATACGACAGCAGTCGTCGCTATCACAGCTCATTTCCTGTTCATAACGTATACTCTCTTTCTCTCACTCACACACACTCTCTCACATCAATCTTCCTTAATTAATTTTACGTGGTTGCAAAATGGTAGAAGAATTTTTTGTTCAATTTTACCTAATTTCCATGTACGCACTAGAGTTTCATGTGCATCGTTAAATATCCTCTGTGTGTGTGTGTGTATGCGCGTGCGCGCGCGCGTGTGTGTGTGTGTGTACAGGGTGTCTCACATCTCCTTCGGCATTTTGTGGAGACGTAGAACAGGTTGAGGTAAACATAAAAGTCCTAATACCGTTTTGCGATATTCGCAATAATTATCGAGATATTAATTGCAGGAAATTTGTGAATAATCATGCAGGATATGGTAAATGAGTTATAATAGCGACGACTGCCGTCGTGTACTTATACTTTAGGTCAAATTGAACAAAAAAGTCCTCTATCATTTTGCAAATAATCACATAGATTTTTAATTATTAATTAAAGGAGATGAGTACATTATCACGCAAAATCGTGCAATAATCTTCTTTAATTAATAATTAAAAATCTATGTGATTATTTGGAAAATTGTAGAGGACTTTTTTGTTCAATTTGATCTAAAGTATAAGTACGACGGCAGTCGTCGCTGCTATAACTCATTTACCATATTCTGCATGATCATTTACAAGTTTTCTACAATTAATATCTCGATAATTAATACGAATATCGCAAAACGGTATAGGACTTTTATGTTCACCTCAACCTGTTCTACGTCCCTACAAAATGCCCGGAGGAGAGAGTGTGAGACACCCTGTATATATATGTGTTCGTTTGCGATATATGTTCGTTAACGAGCTGCGATAAAAAAAACAAAAAGATATAATTCGTGAGCAAACTCGTCCCCATATGCGTACTGAATAAATAATCTACAGATTAGATTAAAAATTCGGTACTTTCATTTCCACTGATAGACAGATGGTGGAGACGCAAATTTGTCGAAATTGCGTTCGTCCTTCACGCATAGTCATTAATAACGCGGCTTTCTCGCTGTTTTTTTTTTCACGTTTCCTCGACTCTTGGTGAAAAGTAGCGTCCCGTTTCGTCGCGGTCTACTTCGAGAATATTACATCCAATATTCACGTTCTACTGTGCGATGTACTTTTCGTCATTTTCATCGGCGTTCGCGAAAATCACACAAAGATTCTATCGTCTTAACATACATATAGCACACTATTCTGCCACGATCGTTATTAGCTTTGAGTCAATCGGCGTTTAACATTCGTGACCTCCCGTGTAATGATTCACGCTGACGTCGGCCATCTTACGGTTATGAATTCTAATAAAAGTTTACAGGCATCATCTGACGATGTAACGTAACGCGAATGCGGTGTGTTCTCATACTGACATTCTCGAGGCTCGGCTCCAACCTTCGTCGGCGCGCAATTGCGACGAGGACGGAAGGAGCTCTGAATGAGTGCGACAGGAATCGTGCTAAGAGCGATTAATGGTCAAAGAACCGCTCTTTTCTCTCTTTCCGCGCAACGTATCGCGACGCAAATGTAAGTCGAGCAATCGAGCGTTCTCTTCCTCCAATTGCCACCCACCCATCCATCCACCCACCCACCCACGTACGCGACACGCACACGTGTAGGCTGAATGCGTACAGGTCGTCCCAAAACTGAGTTACGACGAAATAATAAAACCGCTGTGTCGGCTTTTCGCCGAGAAACATTCGACTCTCCGAGTCAGATAGCGGAACGCGATATTGAAATCGCGGTTTATTTTGCGCAGCGTATTGTGCACGTATCGCCAACTGCGTACAAACATCGAAATTCGATCGGAACGGAGAGGTGTGGCACCCCTCCGCTTACTAATTTCGGTTTAATCATTAGCATCTTGGCCGAGAGAGCGAGTCGAAGCAGCATCGCTATCGGTCGTTTGGCACTCAGCACCCGGCGACGATGTTTATCACATGACTCTCGGAAGCATCTCGGACGAACAAATATTTCCGAACGGTTCCGCGCGTGTGTCGGAAAGCAGACACACCATCCAGCGCGGCGAGAACGGGGTCATTTATAATTACAAAAACCGTCCGAGTGTGTAACCCTCGCTATTTCGAGCGTCTTCACGGAAGAAGAGAGTCAATTGTCGATTTCACGTTGCCACACTTCCTTACTTTCGTCGGCAAGTCGACCGATGAATCGAAAGGAAAGCGAGCTGATAAAATCGGAAAATCTAGTTTTTCCTCTATTTCAGTACATTTCACTAAAAAAATGTAGAATTTTTTTTTAAGTAGAAACAATCGAAAATAATAAGCATTCTTAAACTACACGGAGAGAATATTATAGTTTTTTTGTTATATCAATTGTTTCTTTCCAATTTTACTAGGTTTCTAACTAAAGTTTGCTATAGTTTGCTAAGGAATAAACATAGAAAATATATATTTCGCTAGAAGACATAGGAAATTATTTAATAGCACATTTTAGTTCCTAAAATACAAATAACATGAAATAACATGAAATAGAAGGATAGTTAATTACTGTAGAATGTCGTTCTATTCTTGGGTTACAAAATTCTATGATAATTTTTATTGCAGAAATTCTCTCCATGTAAAGTAAAAATTACGTATCGCGAGCAAAATAAAATTTCTATGTAATTTCTACGGAAAGAAAAAGAGAATACAACAAAATAAAGTATCACGATATTCTTAATTTCTATTTCTGTATCACAAGATATGAAAAAATTTCTCCAGCTTTTCTGTTTCGATCCTCGTTAATATTTACGTATATTCAACCAGATCAACCGTGTCGAACGTGTCGAAAATGTTCGTGGCGTCGTGCAAGGATACGATTACGTAAGAAACGCGTTCGGCCGCGCGAATCTTTTCGCAAAAGATCGACGCCGCGGCAAGTTTCGTCACTGCGCGACGCAGAAAAATACGGTGTCGACGGACGAGCAAACACAAATAAACCCGGCTGAGAGAGGTGACAT